GAGGGAGCATCTGTCAGGCTTATGAGAAGGAGGAATGACCCAAACTCCAGAGTCAAAAAACTCAGTCACTGACACCACCTAAGTCTACTCAGACTTCCATACCACTTTCCAGGCAGCTGACTCCTTAGCAGGGTTTGAGCACCACAGGATGAGGTGACAGGGAGTTTAGAAGGTGAAGGTATTTCATTCTCCCAGGCTGATCCCATAATGAGGAGAATTCTCCACGCAAGAAGTATGGCATCTGCAGTGTGGTAGAGGGACTCAGGACAAAGATCCTGGCAGCTTTCCCTTGAACTCTTTACCCAGAGCCAGAAACCTCACAAAACTCTAGACCCCTTTGCCAAGGTGAGTGGCTGCAAATGAGATTTCATGTGTTTTCCCTCTAAGAGCGCCCCTGTGTTTTTTGTAGTGACCTGTCTCTCCGTGACTGACAGAATCCCCCACTGATTTTCATAGCTAGAAGTTATGTGGGCTTTGGTGCTCTGGACTTGGGATTCTGGCATGGGGTTGAGACCCTTCATTCCTCAGTGAGAACCTTTGCAGCTGAGATATCCTTCCAGGATCACAGCTGCTGCCTATGGGAGTGATGCTGGCCCTTTTCTCATCTCCACTCTTTCTGTCACAATGTGACTCCTTCTATAAATCCTTCATTATAAGACTTCTGTTCAGCTAGTCTTCATTTGGTTATTCATGTTGATTGTTCTATATTTTAGTTGTAATTCCAGTTTGGTATTATGGAGGGTAAATGTAACATCTACCTACTCTGCTGCCATCTTGGGTCCCCATACAACTTTTAAAAATGAGAATGAGGAAGTTCACTCACTTTAAGTTATATTAAATGAATGATATCCAACTTATAGTAAATAAAAATGAATGAAGGTGAAAAACTATATGTAGAATACTGCTACTTGTGTGAAAAAAGCACACTCTTTGGGTGCTTTTATATATATAAAATTTGAAATGATACAGAATAAACTCATGTCAGTGTAACATTTCTAGCTTTCAGGGAGGAAAACTGTGTTGCTGAGGGACAGAGATAGAAGGGAGACTTTCACTATACAATTACAACTTCAAATTTTGAGCCTTGTATTTATATTATTTTTCAAAAGAAATACAGTGAAAAAATTTTGAACATATTAAAAATTCCATGTGTATTATGTTCATACATATTTATATAAACATATAAAAATAAGATTCGGAATGATACACATCAAACACCAAACCAAACAGGCATTATATCTTAAGAAGGGGATGTGGAAAGTTAGACTTCTGTGTGTGGTGGATATTTACTTTTTGTTGCTTAAATTTCAAAATGAGGTTTCCTAATTACACAAATCAACCACATAAAAAAAGTCCTATACTATAGGGCTAAGGCACTGGACCAAGATAGTACAGCTTTTTTAAAAAATATATTTTATTGCCGAAACCGGTTTGGCTCAGTGGATAGAGCGTCGGCCTGTGGACTGAAGGGTCCCGGGTTCGATTCCGGTCAAGGGAATGTACCTCGGTTGCGGGCACATCCCCAGTAGGGGGTGTGCAGGAGGCAGCTGATCGATGTTTCTCTCTCATCGATGTTTCTAACTCTCTATCCTTCTCCCTTCCTCTCTGTAAAAAATCAATAAAATATATATATATTTTTAAATATATTTTATTATATATATTAAAAATATTTTAACATATATATTAAAAATGTATTTTATTTTTAAATATATTTTATTGATTTTTTACAGAGAGGAAGGGAGAGAGATAGAGAGTTAGAAACATCGATGAGAGAGAAACATCGATCAGCTGCCTCCTGCACATCTCCCACTGGGGATATGCCCGCAACCAAGGTACATTCCCTTGACCGGAATCGAACCCGGGACCCTTAACTGGAATTGAACCTGGGACCTTTCAGTCCACAGCCCGATCCAGTGAGCCAAACCAGTCAGGGCCAGCTTTTTTTTTTTTTTTTTTTTTTAATTCAACCATAATGTATGAAAGTTTCAGCCCTATTAACATGCTTGTAACATAATTTCTTTGAGTCTTTCTGATGAATTGAAGTAATAAGACCTTGTTTTCACCACTCAAAGTTAAGAAAACGCAAAATCCAATATATAGAAAATGAATCATAGAATTGTACACGTTAAGCATATAAATTTATTAACCAATGTCACCCCAAGCAATTAAAAACATTTTTAAAGGAAGTAAGCAGCCATGGCTGGTGTGGCTCATTTGGTTGGAGCATCATCTGGTACATCAAAAGGTCGCAGGATCATTTCCCTGTCAGGGTACATACTCAGGTTGTGGGTTTGACCCCTGGTAGGGGTTTGTGTGGGAAACAACTGATGGATTTTTCTCTCTCACATTGATGTCTCCCTATCTCAATTCCTCTCCTTCTAAAAACAATTTTTAAAAGTTTGTAAAAAGGAAGTAATAAGACCTTACCATGTAAGTACTCGAAATTAAACTGTAAACTAACCTTTAATCTTATAATGAAATCTGTGAAGAATACTGAAACTTCCCATATAGGAGGCAAAGAATATACAAAGAAAAGCAGCGGTGAACCACTTTTACAATTGTCTTAAAGGTACAACTCACATTTCAATAGTGTGTATTCTTTGGAGCTACTGAAAAGACCTTGTGATTTAGAGGCAGAAATATACTTTTCAAAACCTGGTTATATTATACTAGAGGCCCCGTGCACAAAAATTTGTGCACTCGGGGGGGAGGGGGGGTCCCTCAGCCTGGCCTGTGCCCTCTCGCAGTCTGGGACCCCTCGGGAGATAACGACCTGCTGGCTTAGGCCTGCTCCCGGGTGGCAGAGGGCAGGCCCAATCCCTGGGTGCAGCCCCTGGTCGGGCTCAGAGCAGGGCCGATTGGGGAGTTGGGGCACCTCCCCCTGTCACACTCAAGGCAGGGTCGATGGGGAGGTTGGGGCACCACCCCCTGTAATGCACAGAGCAGGGCCCATCAGGGGGGTTGGGGCTCCGTATCCTGTCACGCACAGAGCAGGGTCAATCAGGAGGTTGGGGAGCTCCCCCCCTGTCATGCACAGAGCAGGGCCGATCAGGGGGTTGAGGAGCTCCCCCCTGTCACTCACAAAGTAGGGCCGATAGGGGAGTTGGGGCACCGCCCCCTGTCACACTCAGAGCAGGGCAGATCAGGGGGTTGGGGTGCCGCCCTCTATCACCCACAGAGCAGAGCCAATCAGGGGGTTGGGGCGCTGCCACTGTCACACTCAGGGCAGGGCCGATGGGGAGGGTATGGCTCTACCCCGTCACACACAGAGCAGGGCCCGTGGGGGGGAGGGGGGTAGGAGCGCCGCACCCTGTCACACACAGAGCAGGGCTGATCAGGGGGTTGAGGCTCCGTACCCTGTCACACACAGAGCCACAGGGCGATCAGGGGGTTAGGGAGCTACCCCGTATCAGGCACAGAGCAGGGCTGATCAGGGGGTTGGGGAGCTCCCCGTATCAGGCACAGAGCAGGGCTGATCAGGGGGTTGGAGCACCTTCCCCTGTCACGAACAGAGCAGGGCAGATAGGGAGGTTGTGGCCCCGCCCCCTGTCACACACAGAGCCGCAGGGCAATCAGGGGGTTTGGGCACTGCCCCCTGTCATGCTGATCCCGGTGCCAGGAGGCATATTACCCTTTTACTATATAGGATAGAGGTCTGCTGCATGGGTGGGGCTGCCTGGTTTCCCCTGAAGGGTGTCCTGGATCAGGGTGGGGGTCCCCACTGGGGTGCCTGGCCAACCTGGGTGAGGGGATGATGGCTGTTTGCAGCTGGTCACACACCCTTCAGGGTGGGGGTCCCCACTGGGGTGCCTGGCCAGTCTGGGTGAGGGGCTGAGGGCTGTTTTCAGGCTGGGACTGAAGCTCCCAACTGCTCCTTTTTTTCTTTTTTTTTTAAATCCTGGGCCAGCTTTAGCTCTGGCTCCAGCTCTGAGGCTTCTGCTGCTGAAGGAAGGTATCTGGTTTGTTTCGGTTCTATAATCGAAACACTGTATAACTCCAGCTCTGAGATCCCCGCCTCACTGAAAGCAGGTTTCTGGAGTTTTATTTAGCTTCTATATTTGTTACAGTGTTTCTTAAACTGCAGGCTCAGAGGCCGGCAAAGCAGGCGGGGAACGTTGGTTTCCTCCGTCACTGAAGCAAGCAAGCCTCATGTTAGTTTCAAGCTGCCTGGCTGCCAGCCACCATCTTGGCTGGCAGTTAATTTGCATATCTCGCTGATTAGCCAATGGGAAGGGTAGCGGTCATATGCCAATTACCATGTTTCTCTTTTATTAGATAGGATAGTAGTTGTGTGAACTGGCATAATCAACTAACCCTATAGTTAATCAACTATCCCTATTTTATCAGCAATCTCAGAAATGTAATGAAAAATTAAATAAGATATTATTAAAGCACATTGTAAACTCCATAGTGCTGTGAAAATACTATTATTATTATTTTTTATCACCCACAGTGGCAGAGTTAATAACAATTGGCTATTGTACCTTCCCCCATATTGTCATAATGGACATTTTCTCTTTATTCTCAGAATTGCATGGCAACTTTTCAAACATGCAACATCCAGAAAGTCGTTGGTTCAAAATTTTTTTTTTCATAATATATTTTATTGATTTTCTACAGAGAGGAAGGGAGAGGAATAGAGAGTTAGAAACATCGATGAGTGAGAAACATCGATCAGCTGCCTCCCGCACACCCCTACTGGGGATGTGCCTGCAACCAAGGTACATGCCCTTGACCGGAAACGAACCTGGGACCTTTCACTCCGCAGGCCGACACTCTATCCACTGAGCCAAACCAGTTAGGGCGTTGTTTCAAAATTTGGCATTATAATATTTTCTCTCACTGCATGGGAAAAATAATTTAAATTTTATAGTAATAGTAAAAAATTTGGTAATAGGAAAACACAATGGAAATTTGATTTTGAGCTTTATGTCTTTTTGAACTCTTAGAAATGGACAAAAGGATAGTGTGAACACATTTTCTTTTTTCTTAAATTTCAGTTATCTACCTCATATTCTACCATGCCATCTTTGTGTTCTTTACCTGGACCTACTGGAAGTCTATTTTTACACTCCCTCTACAGCCAAATCAGAAGGTAAGAAAACTTATCCTACATAATAAAAGCCTAATATGCAAATTGACCTAATGGTGGAAGGACCAGTGGAATGACGGGTTGCTATGATGCACACTGACCACCAGGGGGCAGACACTCAACGCAGGAGCTACCCCCAGCCCGCAGGCCCCAGGCCAGCTAAGGCGGGTGCCAGCGGAGGTGACAAAAGCTATATCTTATGGAGCAGGCGATGGGTGAATGGGCCACAAAGGGAGGCGACATGCAGCAATGGAGGGGCAGGGCCAGTGAGCAGGTGGTGCCAGGCCGGCCAAGGCGGGTACCAGTGCGGACCCCCCTGATTGCCCCGCTGGTTGCCCCACAAATCAGCCCTGATTGCCGGCCAGGCTTAGGGACCCTACCTGTGCAGGAATTTCATGCATCAGGCCTCTATTTACTTCATAAAGGCTAAAAACAGAGGAAAATAGAAATGCCAAGAAGGCAAGATGAGGACAAAAAGAGAAGGAAAATGCCTTCTGCTACAAAATGGAGATTCAGTGTAATCTTTAAAAACAACTCTTAGTGATAAAGATAAATGAATGTAACATTGCCTATTTGAAGGAGATTGTGAAATCACCAGCCATGTATATATTTAAATTAGGAAACCAATGCCTGCATTGGTGATATAATTAGAGAAACAAAAACCAATTTTAATTTTGAAAGCTCATCTAGCTCCATTCTGTGAAACTATTATTTTGGAACCCAGTGAGACTCTGGAAGACAACTCTTGGGAAAAATTTAGAATTGTTAAATTGATCATTTTCAAATTGTGCTTCATTAAATCAAAGTGTTTCCTGCAATATTTGATAATCTTTATCAAATAATTTGTAATCATATCAGGCACTTATAATATTTTACATCTGTAAAACAGATTCAAATCCAAAGTAGAAACATTAAAAAAATACAGTAGATCCCCGGCCAGCATGGCTCAGAGGTTGAGCATTGACCTATGAACCAGAAAGTCACAGTTTGATTCCCAGTCAGGGCACATGACTGGGATGCGGGCTTGATCTCCAGTGTGGGGCATGCAGGAGGCAGCCAATCAATGATTCTCTCTCACCGTTGATATTTATATCTCTCTATCCCTCTCTCTTCCTCTCTGAAATCAATAAAAAATATATTTTAAAAATGGAATCAAATTGGTGCACAAGAAAAATCCAATTAAACACAAAGGAAGGCAGTAATGCAGGAATTGATAACATAAAAGATAAAAGCTCATAAAATTGAACAGAAAAATTGTATAAGCACTTTTTTATGAGTAATTACTTGAAATATAAATGAATTAAGCTATCCAATTGAAAGGCAGATATTTACATAATTAATAAACATCACCTATCTTTATGCTGTCTACAAATGAGTGACCTAAAACCAGACATAACTAGGTAATAAGTGAAAGGATGTAAAATGTTATTCCAAGCAAATAGTAACCAAAAGAGAGCAAAAAGAGTAGCTATACTAATGTCACATAAAAGAGGTTTTAAGCCAAAAATTATTATAAGATACAAAGAGATAAAGATCTTACTGAGTGTTGTCAGAAAGATGTCAGAGTAGAAGATACCAGCCTGCCTGCCCCCCCCCCCACACCCCAAGATGACAGCGATGCATGAATGAAAATAGCCATGGTAGAGGTACAGTGTCTAAGAAGCTGCAACAACACTGTGGAACAAAAAAAAAAAGAATGATCACATAGGAAAGATTGCTGGTGAAATCAGTATGATAGAGACATATTGAAAAGGCTAAGAACAAATAAACAGTGGGTGCTAACAGTATCAGGCACAAGGTCTGCTCTGTGGAGGACCCTGGCAGCTTTAGCCACTGAACATATCAATAGTCCTAAGCAAAACCATGAATTCCTACAGCTTTAATAGTAGAGGACCCCAAAAATATTTGTTGATTTAGACCCCAGCAGCCTCCACCACAGAGGATACTGGCAGCTTTTGCCATTGAGGTTAGCAACAGCCATCACTACCACAGACTCTCTTTAAAGTGGGATTCTACTGAGACCTCTCTATGAAAAAGAAGCCACTGTTGTGCCATTCCAGTACTAAGGCTGCCACCACCAACCTTGTGCTTGCCCTAGACCCCAGCATCATGGCTACGCTATGGGCACCTGCCCCAGATCCAAGTTCCACAGTCATTCCACCCATGTCCATGTTCCAAACCCTGTTTCCAGGGCCACTCTGCATATACCAGTACCTCAATCACCAGAGCCACTGACACCAATGGATATCCCATGCTGCAGATACCAGTGACACTATCACTTCATGCACACCTCTGCTCTGGTCTCTGGATCTGTGGCCAATTTGCAAGTGTTCTCAATATGGAAACTGGAACATTGCTTCAGTGGATATACCTGTCCTCTGGAACACATGACCGTAGCTTCTCCACAAGTACCCAAACTTAGGTACCCAAGGTACTACCATAGCAGACTCATTTATTCACCACATATACATTCTCTGCAAATGTATTCATCTAAGTCAATGGAGTCTATGCCTTAGACCACAGAGCCTCTGTAGCTCTATGTGAGCCTGAGTTCTATACCTAGGTTGTGTGGCTGCTTCCCAAGCATCTTTACCTCATACACTATTGCCAACACTGCAGTGTGAGTGCCTGTAGCACAGGCACTAGTACCAACACTGCCCCAGACCAGGAGCCACTCCAGTAGCTTCATGTATGCCTCCAATCCAGTCTGACCTCGTGGGCACTCCATGGTCACCCATACATCAAATTTCATTGACACAGCTACTGTAAGTGGCTCAAAGGATTCCCTCAGCCATGATTTCCACCATGGGAGATAAAACTTTGCAGCCACAGCATTACACCAGAGTACAAACTGTGGAGGCAGGAGTCATGACAGGACAGAGGTTTAGAAAGTTTCTTCCCCTCTTGGACTGAGTATTAGTTGAAAGAAGTGCTGTGGAAACTGTAACCAAAGTAGGCATTGTGCATTCAGAAAAATCTCAAGGAAAGTCTTGCAAGCAACAGTAGTAGCTGTTGGATTGCCCTCCAAAGGAAAGGGTGGAGAGATTCAACCAGTTAGCATGAAAGTTGAAGATAACATTTTTTTCTTCCAGAATATGGCGGCACCAAAGTAGTTCCAGATGACAAAGATTGTTTGTTATTTAGAAATGGTGACATTCTTGCAAAGCCTGTAGACTGAAATGAAGAACTATTGAAATGGCAGCACCTGAAGCTGCCCATTCCATTGAAGTTCTGAAATCTTCAATCATATAAACAATTTATGAGTCTTGTTTATAATAAACTAATAATATATAAACTAATGGCATTCAGTGTCTCTTGAAATTAAGTTTCACTGTACTGATATGACATTTTTTAAAAAGAGAGAGATCAAGAGGACAGTAGTAGCCTTTACCACTAAAGAGCCTCACAGATCTCATGGCTGCTTCATACACATGCAGTCTTGGTCACTGAGGACACCTTCAGTCTTTGCTGATGCTGATGACAGCTGAAAGAGCTTTACAAAGACTATTACACTACACCTTCCCTGGAGCTGGAACTGCCTCATCCCACTCAATTAGCACCTTTGCATCCACCCACAGGTGAAGGTATTTCCCCACTGAAACCATTCCTTAAAATCAGGAAAAGGTGACTGCTCCATGAAATATTCACACATCAATACAAAGCTTCAAGAAACACAAAAACTCAAGGAAAAACTACACCAACTGAGGAGTACAAATATCCTAGTAACCAACTGAAAATTCATGGAGATCTTCAGGGAAAAAAACAAACCTCAAAATAATTGTTTTAAATAAGCTCAGAAAATTATAAGAGAACATAGATAGACAACTCAACAAACTTAAGAAAAGAATATATGAACAAAAAAAGAAGGTATACAAAAAAATCATTAAAAAGCACCATACAGAATTTTTGGAACTGGAAAGTACAATGAGTAAAATGGAGAACTACATAGAGAACACCAGTAGCAGACTTTATCAAGATGAAGAAAGCATCTGCAAACTCAAAGCTAGGCAATTTGAAATTACCCAGTTGAGGGGAAAAAAAGAATGAAAGTGAAATAGTTCATGAGAACTGTGGGACACCATCAGACAAAAGAATATATGCATTGTGGGAATAAAAGAAGGAGAAGGGAGGAATGGGCATAAAGCCTATTTAAAGAAATAATGGGCCGTGACTGGTTTGGCTCAGTGGATAGAGCGTCGGCCTGTGGACTGAAAGGTCCCGGGCTCGATTCCAGTCAAGGGCATGTACCTTGGTTGCGGGCACATCCCCAGTGGGAGGTGTGCAGGAGGCAGCTTATCGATGTTTCTCTCTCATCGATGTTTCTAACTCTCTATCCTCCCTTCCTCTCTGTAAAAAATCAATAAAATATATTTAAAAAAAATAGAAATAATGGCTGAAAACTCCCCAAATTTGAGGAGAGATTTTGTCATACACGTACATAATGCTCTAAAGTCTCCAGTTTCAAACAAAAGTGGACTTCATGAGAACACATTACAATCAAACTTTCAAAAATCAAAGGCAAAGAGAATTTTGAAAGCAGCAAGATAAAAAAAGGCTGTTCACTTACAAGGGAACCACCATAAGGCTATCAGTGGATTTTGTTGTGGAGCGCGAGTGACAGAAAGACCAGAATTCCAGACTGATTAAAATTTAGAGAGCCTTTATTGACTGGCCAGTGTCCGCTCCTCCACTCAGGAAGCCCAAGAGAGAAACGGCCCCGACCATCTGCAGAGTTCAATATTTAAAGGGTACAACTACATCCATGTTCAGGTTCCCATAGCAAGCAAAGCCAAGTTACAAGAGCTAATTGCGTAGTTTTAGCCAAGCTATTCATCATCCTCCTGTTATTCATTTCTGGGTAACTTAAAGGTCAGGACTATTCTTAATTTTGATCTGTCTGTGCTTTGTAGGCCGTTGCTCAGGTGTGTGAGCTCAGTTCCTAGAAACTTTGCACAGGCTGTCAAGCGGCTGAGGTGGCTAGGTAATTAAGCAGGCCTAAAAAA